TAAAGGTGCAACTTCCCTCCCCCTCCCAACGTTGGCATTTCCTTAAAGATTAAGCATCTTTCCTTAGGCTGGGAACTGATTGCAGCACTCACCTGTGACCACCCAGCTTGAGACAACAGACCTGCCATCCTGCTGTGTCCACCAAGACAGCAGACCTACCTGCTGTTTCCATCAATCACTGTGCCGACAGAGCAGTCTCGTGACTATTGTAAAAGGGACATTTCAATCATATGTGAAACATCCTGTTTGAGGGTATATAACCACCTGTATACCCCTACTTCTTTGGAGCGCTCTGTTCCTTTGTGGAAAGACTCTCCCGGGCCATGGTCCTCAGATTTTAGCTCAGAATAAACTCTCCCAAATTTTCATTATATATTGGTTATGGATTAGTTTTGTCAACACATACTTCTAACCCTTAACAGGATCTTTTCACAAATGTCTATGATCTTATCTGTGTAGCCACTAGACCCCTGGAAGGCACAGCCAGGTGAGAGTGTAAGTACTGGTTGAAGGACCTGGGCGATTCGGCCTCAAGAAGAAATTCTGGGTGGTGGGCACTGGGGATCTGAGAGCTGCTTTCACACATCAGAATAAAAAAGGGTTTAGGCTTCTTCCCGAGGCCAAAACCAGGACAGTGAGTGGAGCTGCCAATTTAACCCTGAGTTAAAGAGAACCCTCCTGTCTCTCAGGGCTGGAAGGAGGTGTCTGAGGGGGTATTTACCAGAGGATGGTGCAGAAAGGATTCATCAAGCGAGCACCATTCCCAAAAGCCAGTCTGCACATTGGCACCTGTCCATAATGTTTGCCAGGTCTCACTTTCCTATTGAGGAAAGAAAAGAAAATGTGACTCATTTTTATAAAGCTAAACATTTGCAATTTGAAGTACGTTTCCTATATTCTGAGATTATGTTCTTTCTATTCGCGGGCATGTTAAAATGTTTTTTTGTTGTTGTTAGATAGCAGGTGTTATTTGTTATTGTTGTTTAACATCCTAACTCGACAAAACAAACTCTTGACAACTCCATATAAGTCTCCATTTAGAGAAGATTTATACGTCTATGAAATCAGGAAGTTGGTAACCACAGGACATGACCCTCAGTTGTCTCTCTGACTTGACCTTTCAAGGAGCCATAGTTTATTCGAGGGGCCACTAGATGCCACTCTTCTGCACTCACAGGAGCTGGAGCATTTGGTGGCGCAAACAGAGAAACCAGAAAGGGGATCCACGTGCTTTGCAGTAAATTAAACTCTACTGACAAAGTATTCACTTTTTCCATATATAGCTACTTTTGAGAAACCCTAATTTTTTTAATTGAAGTAAATTTCAGGTATACATCATTATATTTCGTGTTACCACCCAAAGTCTAATTACCATCCGTCACCGTACAAGTGTGCCTCTGTACCCCTTCTTCCTCTCCCCTCCCCCTCTGGTAACCACCAATCTATTCTGTGTCTGTGTGTTTGTTATTGTTGTTTTTATCTTCCACGTATGAATGAAATCATATGGTATTTGTCTTTGTCTGACTTATTTCACTTAGCGTAATGCCCTCAGGGTCCATCCATGTTGTCAAAAATGGCAAGATTTCATCTTTTTATGGCTGAGTAGTATTCTATTGTATTTATAGACCACATCTTCTTTATCCACGCATCCACTGATGGGCATTTCGGTTGTTTCTAAGTCTTAGCTATTGTCAATAATACCGCGATAAGCATAGTGGTGCATATATCTTTACACATCTGTGCTTTCATGTTCTTTGGATAAATAGCCAGTAGTGGGATAGATGGATCATATGGTAGTTGTATTCTTAATTTTTTGAGGAATCTCCATACTGTTTTCCATAGTGGCTGCACCAGTTTGCACTCCCACCGACAGTGTATGAGGGTTTCCTTTTCTCCACATCCTCTCCAACACTTGTTACTTCTGATCTTGTTAACTATAGCCATTCTGATGGGTGTGAGGTGATATCTCATTGTAGTTTTGATTTCCATTTCCCTAATAATTAGTGATGTTGAACATATTTTCATGTGCCTGTTGGCCACGTGTAAGTCTTCTTTGGAGAAATGTCTGTTCAGATCCTCTGCCCATTTTTGAATTGGGTTTTTTGTTGTTGTTGTTGACTTGTATGAATTCTTTATGTATTTTGGATATTAACCTCTTATCAGGTAAATGATTTGCAAATATCTTCTCCCAATTGGTAGGTTGTCTTTTCGTTTTGTTGATGGTTTCCTTTGCTGTACAGAACATTTAGACCATCATTATCTGACACCATACACAAAAATTAACACAAAATGGATTAAAGACTTGAATGTAAGACCCAAAACCATAAAAATCCAAGAAAAAAACATAAACAGTATGCTCTTTAACATTGTTCTTAGCAGTATCTTTTTGAATACCATGTCTCCTCAGGCCAGAGAATCCTTGTGATACCAGCTATAGAGCATTCGGCATGTGTCCCTGTCTGTGTCATAGCAGCCAGTGTCCTTCCGTTGCTACCTGCATTGTTTCCCTCACTGGAATTTCTATGGGGAATGAATAATAATGAATTCCCTGATGATGCTTTTGGACCCAAACTGAAACATAAACGTATATATACGTCATGGCTATTGATCCCTAGCTTACAGAAAGAGGAATGAGGCCAGCATGCTGCCTTTGCTGTAAGGCGTGGATCACCTGGCCGCATGTTTGATGTGGTACAACACATGATGAGATCTTAGGAGGCCTGGATGCTGGGATAGGGGATCATGCTAACTGTTATAAATACATCTTTTTCTCTGAGAAACACAAAAGTGAAGCTTTACTGTCATACTTGTTGGGACTCTGTCCCAAAAGATGAAAGACATTTCGGTTATCTGGATCCAGTCAAAAGATCTGATTCTGTACACAAACATGTCATTATTTTATGTACATGACAAACTAGTATCCATAATCCAAATTACAATTTTGCAGCCCGTTTCATCAGGAATGAACCTGAGTGAGAAATTAAAGGAGAGGAATGTGATCATTTTATCAAAAAAATTCATAATGCCACATGATCTAAACTTGACCTTTATTGCCCATAGTTCAAAGTCCTATGATAGCTCTTTCATTGAGCTAGCAGTTGTTCGAGAAGATTGCCCTGGCTGTCATGAGACAGGCTGGGAAACAGATACATAGGAAGACAAAAATTTTAAGAAACTATTTTGTTAACTTTTATTTTCTCCCAATGTAGCTGAGTAAGTTTCAACAGGCAATGGAGCTTTCTAGGAGTAACTGGCAGTTCTTATATTAAAAACAATACAATGCAGAATTAGAACTATGGAGGGCTTTGTGGGAGAAACTAATTGCTCCCCAATATCTGGTTGCCCTTTCTTCCACAACCAAAGAATCCACAATTTTTAACCAGGTCACATGGTTGCCCAGAATTAAGGCTGTATTTCTCAGCACCTACTGCAATTAACTATGGCCACATAACTAAGTAATAGCTAATGGGCTGCAAGCAGAATTGTAGTATGACAGCTTCTAGAAACCTTTCTTAAAGGACACCTGACATATGCCCTTTGCTCCCTGTATTAGTTAGAATTCTCCAGAGAAACAGAATCAACAGGATACATAGATATCAAAGGTGATTTATTATGAGGAATTGGCTCCCACGATTACAGAGGCGAGGAAGCCCCACAATCTGCTGTCTGCAGATCCTGGAGACGCAGGAAAGCCGGTGATATAATTCAGTCTGAGTCCAAAGGCCTGAGGACCAGGGGAGCCAATAGTGTCAGTCCTAGTCTGAGGCAGGAGACGAGAGGAGATGTCCCAGCGAACTCCTCTTTCCTCCATCTTTTGTTCTATTCAGGCCCTCAGCAGAATGGATGATGCCCACCCACTTTGGGGAGGGCAATTTACTTTACTGAGTTCACAGATTCAAATGCCAATCTCATTCAGAAACACCCTTACAGACACACCTAGAAATAATGTTTAATCTGGGCAGCCCATGGCCAGTCAAGTCGACACATAAACTCAACCATCATACTCCCCTTTGTCTCTGTCACTCTTTCTATCCTACTGCTTGTAATGTGGTGAGAGAGCTGGAGCTCTAGCTGCCTTCTTGGACTATGAGGATAAGGACCACACCAGTGGGATGGTAAAGCAGTAAACCAGAAGGAGTTTGAGTCCCTGGAGACTTAGAGGAATAGAGATCCTACAACATCCCTGGATTACTTACCTTACAGACCTTTACACAAGACAGAGAAATATACCACTGTCTTAAGTCAGCAGTGTTACCATGGAGGTCTGCCTTTTAGTTAAACCTAATCCTTAGTGATACACACCCTTTTCCTTATGTTTACTTGAGCCTTCATGGTCCTTAGTCAATGGGTCTGTAGTCATTTCATCATAGTGGTAAAAGGTCAAACCTTGGTCCCTAGGATCACAAACTCAACATGTTGAGAATGATGTCTTTCTGTCTACAGCAAGGAATGGAGACGGTCCAATGAATGCCAACGACTTCAATTCTCCAGCTGCTTCAGTTGGTTCCCAAGATAGTAGCCACGAGCTCCATGAGGCAATGTGACTTCATTTGTACTCTGCAGACAGCATTGCTAATCCAAAAAATACACCTATCTTTCCCTTAAAGATGTCAGTTCTCTCCTGAAAACCTTGCTGCTAAGGGGGAAAAAAATTAGGTGAAAAAATTTTCCGTTGATTTTATTTTATTTATTTTTATTTATTTATTTTTTTGAGGAAGATTAGCCCTGAGCTAACATCCATGCCCATCTTCCTCCACTTTATATGTGGGACACTTGCCACAGCACGGCTTGACAAGCTGTGAGTAGATCTGCACCCAGGATCCTAACCAGCAAACCCCGGGCCAGCGAAGCAGAATGTGCCAACTTAACCGCTGCGCCACCAGGCTGGCCCCTCCATTGATTTTAATGGGAAAAATTTTGATGCATTTCATCCTGATCCAAGATATGCATTTCATCCTATCTAAAATGCCCTAAACAGTACCCATAGATAGAAAAATATATTAATTGAACAAAAATAAGTTTATGTAACAAACAGCAATTAGAAAGTAAATAAGTTGAGTCTGTAGGTAAAATGTAAAGAAGTTTACAGCACTGACAGAAGGAGGAAGGAAGGAGGAAGAAAGACTTGATAGTGGGGGTGCTGGCGCAGAAGGGGTTCTTCGGAAGGCACAGCCTTCTTTCCGCACCATTCAACCATTTCTCAACATTTAAGGGGTTCACGGTGATCTTGCATCCAAACTTCACTACAAATAAAGTTATATCGCAGAAAATACGTTGAGGGCAAAATAAAAGTAAATACGTGAGTCGTTCAAAAGGTGTAAAACCAGTGCGCGCGCACAGCCCACTGACGAGTCACGGGACATGCTTCCTCCTCCTTCCTCCACTGCGCAGTGTGCTTCGGGTTCATCCCCACGCGGCAGCGACTCCTCTTCCTTCCATGTGATGTTCTCCGACTAGAAACTGCTGTGCCGAGTAGTAAGCTGGTGACTGTGTCTTTGCCTGAAACCATAAAGTCAAAATATTACTTCTTGCAGCATATGGCATTGGGTGAAAACATGGTCATACTGAAAAAAAAGAAGCCACTGTCTGAAAAGCGTGGAACCGTTCAAAGCCCTAATGGCAGCAGGTCATTAGCGAACGTCTGTGTGCGGGCTGCGGGTGTAGCTGAGGGGCGGGGGCAGGAAGAGGCAGCACCCAGACCTCCTTACAGGGTCTCACTGGGTAACAGTGAGCGGAGTCCTTCCGGCCGCGGGGGAGCCCGGACTGCAGACGAGCCTCTGCACACCCGCCTCCCGGGCAGGGACCGGAGCTGAAACTCCCTCCTGTGTTCCCCTTCAGCCGGATTTGAGGGACTCGGGTGTGTCTGGGCTGAAAGTGTTAGGGCTTCCACCAAGCTGCTGTGGATGTCCCCAGTTGGCGTTCGCTTGGTGACTCTTAAAGAAACAGGCCTGAGGCCCGCTCTGACGGCCAGAGTCAGCTGAAGGGCTGACTCCGTTCAGGGAGGAATCGAGTCGCGTTGGGCAGTGAAAACCCCCTGGGAGAAAGAACAGGACGCTTCACCTGTGCCCGCTGCTGTGTCCCCGGTTCTTCTGAAATCTCCTGCATGCCGCATCTGTTCTTATTCCCCTGGGCCCGCTGGAAGCCCAGCTAGGGGCAGCCAGGGCCAAAGGGCACGGGCTTCGGAGCTGGCCAGAAGGGCACTCGGCTCCCGCACTTCCTCCCCTGACCACATTCAAGTTTTCCCTCCCCTGCCGCCACCTCCCGCAACCTTCCTCCGCCCTCGAGTCCTCCTCGGATCGCATCACGCACGTTCTCTCTTAGCTGACGTCACCAGGCGCCAGCGTTCATCCGCGTCTCATCGGGAAGACTTTCCAGGGCTGGACTTGAACCCTGGAGCGCTCCCGGCACGTGTCTGTCCCTCCAGCGGTTCGGGTACTCTAGGAGACTCTTTCTCTGGCTCTCGCGCTGGCTCCCTGCTGCTGGCGCTCTCACCGTCCCGTCGTCACCGTCCCGGGAGGAGGGCCGACTCCGCAGTCGGCCTGTGGACTGCGGCGTGAGCGCCCGCGAGTTATGAGTCCTCCAACGGGCCCCGTGCTGCCAAGGCTAGTGAAGCCTGAGCGTCCGCTGCTCAGGGACAGCGAGGAGTCAGCTCGACCCGGAGGCCAGAGAGACCCCGGCTCCTCCGGGCCGTGACCTGGGGCCCCCGCCCTGCCCTGCGGCCCACGGACTGCCCGACCTGACTGTAGGTACCACGCTGGCCGCTCTGCTGCCCCAGGACTCTGATTCTGGTCGCCGGGATCTCCTCCGGCACAGGGAGGAACTCCCACCCCAGCTCCATCCTCGGCCGCTGACTGAGCCGGGGCGCTGCCTGGCCCGTGGAGCCTCAGCGGCGGCTTGTTTTAGGAGAAGAGCAGCGGGACTGGGGCTGGGTCGGGAAGCGCCACGGCTTCTGCACAATAAACTGCCACTTTTTCAGAATCCTCCTCACCCCTTCCTCTCATCTGCAACCTTTCAGATTTTTTTATATGCTAATCTTTGATTCCTCTAGAATTTCTCTCGGTGTTTGGCGAGGGCCTTACGGAGCCCAGACCCAGAACGCGAGCCTGGTTCTGAGAACGTGGAGAGACGCAGGTCGCTGGAACTCGCTGTCGTGGGAAACAGCGGCCACTTGCCGCCGGGGCAGAGGGCTCGCGGGCAGCAGCGGCGGCCGCAGGAGGCAGCCCGGAGGAGCCGGCGCCCGTTCTCCTCCCGCTCCGCTCTCCCCCAGCGCCCCCACGGGCAGCACCGGCGGGCAGCCGGCCGGCCGAGACAGACGCGCTCGGCGTCCCAGCCCAGCGTCGCCGAGCGAGCGCAGGACGGCTCCGAAGCTGAGACAGTAGCCTAGGGATCCGCACGTGGACCCTCACATATTAAATGACGTATGTATTTGGGCCTATTTCTAGACTCTGTTCCAATGACCTATTTCTCCACCAACACTAAACTTTATTTTATTACTGTACTTTTGTACATTTTGGCATCTGGTAGGACTAGTTCCTCCTTGGTTTTTCCCCCAAAATTCCTGGCTATTCTGACACGTGTTTCTATATTATTATATTATATGTAATATATAGCTATATTTCTATGTGAATTAGAATTAACTTCTCAGTGACTGGAATCTCATTGAATTTCTATGTTAATTTAGGGGACTTGAGAAGTTTACACTAATGAGATTTCTTATCCAACTTTTATCTTTCAATTTATGCAAATATTCTTTTGAGTTCTCTCAATAGAGTATTATGCTTTTATTCATGTAAGTATTGTGGATTCTTTTTTTTTTTTTTTAAAGATTGGCACCTAGGCTAACAACTGTTGCCAATCTTCTTTTTTAAGGATTGGCACCTGGGCTAACAACTGTTGCCAATCTTTTTGTTCTTGTCTTTTTTTTTTTTCCTGCTTTATTTCACACACCCCCCCACCCCGTACATAGTTGTATATCTTAGTTGCAGGTCCTTCTAGTTGTGGGATGTGGGATGCCACCTCAACGTGGCCTGACGAGCAGTGCCATGTCTGCACCCAGGATCCGAACCCTGGGCCGCCGCATTGGAGCGCGCGAACTTAACCACTCGGCCACAGAGCCGGCCCCGTATTGTGGATTCTTAACTTTATTCTTACGTATTTCCCCTCCAATTCATTGCTAATATATAAATTCTATTTTCCCTCATTATATTTTCTCCTGGTTACTATTTGTATGAAAAACTTGATTTTTGCATGTTAATTTCATAACCAGCTTCTTTATTGAATTCTATTTTTTTTTTTTTTTTTTTGAGAAAGATTAGCCCTGAGCTAACTACTGCCAAGCCTCCTCTTTTTGCTGAGGAAGACTGGGCCTGAGCTAACAGCTGTGCCCAGCTTCCTCTACTTTATACGTGGGACGCCTATCACAGCATGGCTTTTGCCAAGCGGTGCCATGTCCGCACCCTGAATCCGAACCAGCAAAATCCAGGCCGCGGAGAAGTGGAAGGTGTGCACTTAACCACTGCACCACCGGGCTGGCCCCCAAGTTGTATTTTTTCTTGAATTGCCTTTCAATTGATTTTCCTGTTTTGTCCAGGTATAAAATTAACGGTATATGTTATCAATAATAATAAAATTATTCCCTCCTCTCTTCTATTTTCACTATTTTCTTTCTGTTCTCTGATTCAGTGGCTGCTATCGTAATGGGTTGATCTCACTCTTCATTCGCGCGGTGCAGACGTTTTTGTTAGAGACATAGATTTAATTTTGTTAAAGAACACACGCTTTCCTATTTTATTAGAAGTTTTATAGAACCCAGAAATTGATTTTTAACTTTTCAAATAACTTTGAGGAATCTATTGAAATGATCACGTTTTTCCTCCCTTGACCTATGAATGTGGTGAATTATTCCCGTAGATATTCTTAAATTGCTTCACTTTTACATTTTTGAAATAAATCCACCTGGATATGGTTTGTTATTCTTTTAATGTGTTGCTGAATTCTATTATGTACATATATACACAGACACACACACACACATTCACACGAGCGAGGTGGGGCTCTGGTTTTCTCCACTGTACCTTCTCTGTCCTGTTTCTCATGTTTCGCCATCAATGTTATGCTGGATTGGTTGAAGAAATTTGGAATATGTCTTTCTCACTGTATGCTCTGAAATAACTTAGTGTTAAAGGCTTTCGTTCCCCAAATACTTCATAACATTCATCTCTCTGGGCCTGGAACATCTTAAGATGGTAACTGGAAATTTCTCAATTTTTTTCTTAGGTAATCGGTGTTTTTAGGTGGTCTATCTCTTTAGTGCTTAATTGGGTAATTTATTTTTTCTTAGAAAATAACTTTTTCCCTAAATTCTCAATTATTTTCTGAGAGTGGAAAAAACTATTCTTATAGAATTTCTCATTTTCTTGGCAACAGCTGTATGCATCATTTTTGAGTTGGGTGGTGCCTCTGGATTGGGGCAGTCCTGGGGGATGGAGAGGAAGGGCGGGCTGAGCAGGTGGAGCCCTCCCCCCTCCACTCTCTCCCACCTCCATTCCACTCCGGCCGCTGCCCCGCGTCCACGGAAGCAGACCCACTTTACATTTGGAGTTTCAGCTTAAAGATTTCACTGGGAATTCGGTCACTAGAATAAAAGCCTGAAAAATCACTGATCTAGAACTATGAAGTTGAAATAATATATTTCAAATATATTTGAAATAATATATACATATAACAACATGAGATTATGCCTGGCCCCCAAAGGAGTTTATCCATTCTGATCATTTTCATTTGGGGGATTTTAGGAATGGGTTCCTATATGATATAGCGCCATAGCAATAATTGTTCAGAAAGACTGATGACCTAGGTCAATGAGAAAGTTCCCATCTTGTCTCTTCTTGCTGTTAATGCATCTTGTTCTTTTTGAAAGCATGGGCCAGGAGAAGGGTGACTGACTTTGAAAGGCAAGGAATGTGAAGTTGGAGGGTGGGAGCAGAGGTAGCCACTGTTCCTAGAGAAAACAAATCATGCAATTTCTAACTTAACAGTTACCTCAGGATCATGTAATTTGTAATAGAAAAGGACATGGCCATCATTACTCAGGGGGAAAGGAAGTGAGTAGAGGACAGCTAACATGAAGGGGTCCTTTTTCAACTGTTTCTCTGCACCAGACTGATGTCAGGCACCCTAGGGAAATACAATTAGCTTAGCAGTGTCATCATTATTCCCAAGGTATTTTCAGAAATATCACATTCTTCCTATTGCTGGAATAGACTAGATGATGCTCTCAACATAGTTTAGTACCCGCCAGCTGGGTAATGCTGGGCGCTCTGGGCACAGGACGAAGAACTGGGGCTGTCTAGGCTGGAGGGAAATAGACTCAGGGACCAGAAGAACTATCGTCACACGTCAGAAGGAGACAGATTAGACGCATTTCATGTGAAGGCATGAAGCTGGATCAGGACTGGGAGCAGCTCCTGGAGAGGATATTTTAGCACAAGGCAAGGAAGAATTCGCTAGTAGGGCTGAATGTGACAGCTCGAATCTAGAAGTACTGAGTTCTTTGTCACTGGAGGTGTCCAAGCAGATGCTGGCGACCGGGGCCAGGGGCCGTGGAGAGGAACTCCATGCACCATGTAGGTAGGACTGAACGAGCAGACCTCTGAAGCCTTCGTCAGAAACGATGCTCCTGCATGGCTGGGCAAGTGTCTGAAGTTCGCTTGAGTGGCCGCTAGATGTCACTCTTGTGTATCTGCAATAGCAAGATTCTTTCTCTACCAGTGCAAAGTGGAACTCGGGAACATGACTAAGCAAAGACAGTGGAATTTTAATAACTAAATGTGCGTCCTTAGCTTATGCATTTTTAATAAGTGTAAGAAAACTTAAATATCGCTTGAAGCAAAAATTTCCAACATCTATTCTCAAAATTGGATTCACTTTCTAAATTCTCTTTTTAAATGTCTTCCAATGTTCTCAAAATTTAATATAAGTTGCCATAAAACTGCTTCTATCCATCCACTTCCATCTCTGAATCGTTCACCTGTCTTCTGTGTCTGTTGTTCTAGGGAGGAACTATGTCTTGCTCTTTTCTAGATGGCACATAGCACCGTGCAGCCTTCATAATACTACTGCTAATAATTACCGTTTACAAAGCACTCATTTCTAGTATCTTATCTAATCCAAGTAAGATCGAGTGGTTAGGTTTTAAAATATGAAGAAACAGCTGAGAGGAGCTGAGCAACCTGCCAAGGTCGCGCTTGCTTCGAACATGCTTCCCAGTTCTCATTGTGCTGAACTATGGGGATTCAGGAAA